GTATTGATTTCAAGTTCAGGTTCAAGATGAGAAAGTTGGTTACAGAGGTGACAGAATATCAGTCATTTCACCAGCTTCTTCTAACTTTTCTAAATAACTTTTTTGTGTCCTTTTTTGAACTGATGCGCAGCAATCGCTATGCTGCACAGCTATTTTGCGAACGCTATCTGATACGGAGTATTATTCTCTTATTTCAGATTGTTTCATCACCTCGGTACACTGGATCAGCCTTGGGTTTGTATATATTATTTTGATATTTTCACTAGAACCTTATTTTATATTGCCGGTTTCAGAACTGTCCACATGGTCGCCCAACTCTTCGACATCTCGTTGACTTGCAAAACATAACCTTGTAATGTCTAATCAGCTCACTATTTCACTTTCTTAAGTTGCTATTGGAAGTACTAATGAACGATATGTTTACTCATGATTTTCAGTTCAACAAAGCAAGATTTTGAATATTTATTATGTTCTATAAAAGTTTCAGTTTACTACACATTAATACCCAAAAAGTATGCACAAGGCAATCGAAACGAAAGACCGACAGGAAAATCTCTCATTACATTGGTTGAGTTTACCGCGTTTGCGTTGAGATCTGATTTTGATGCATTCATTACCTTCTCTCAACACCTCACAGCTCTCTGTTCGATTGAACCCACACGACTTCTATTACGATTACTTACTGAGCTAGGCATAAGCCACCGTAGCACCTACCTTACAAATTACGCAATCATTCCTGACTAGAACAGATTGGTACGATGCAGTCAGGCAACCCAAGCACCATAACTCATAAAGCTACTACCTGAGCAACGTAGCACCCTGTAGTGGAGATCAGACAAAATGAGATCTTTAAACTTCTGACTATTCCATCTATATACAGGCGAGCATTGCACTGCTCAAAAAAACTCGACGAGAATAAAGGTTCTCCTAGACTACGGTACGTGCTACTGTGGTTTATCTAGAACTAGCCTTTTAGAAAATGAACATTCACGTCTCACTCTGTTCAGCTATGCGGGACGAAAAAGTCATGCGGCGAAGAGAAGGCGAACATAGCAGCGTCCATATCCTGTTCCAATTTCACCTGCAGCACCATAGCACAGTTCTCTAGGACGGAGCACTAAAACTAGTGAAATAGGCGCCTGGAAACTGCAGAACGACCACAAATGGTAAAAACTAACGCCTTGTTCAAAGATCCGTTGATTTGCCCGTAAGAGATCATTATCTTTCTTTATTTGCTGAAGCTTAACCCTTTGCTCCTCAAATTTCTTTTCGAATTTGCGATCAATCTAAAATGCACTGTTGGCCTATAGCTGTCAGCTTCACAAACCTCAAAAGCGTAATAGGTACCTTCTCTTCCCATCGCAAAAGTGTCAAAGCAGAAACTGCGTTGGCTGCAAGTCTTATCTTTCGAGCTGTAACATGGCGCTATAAAGCTCCCACTGTGAAAATCACAAAATCTTATCAAAGGTAAAACCCACCCGCCAATTTTCGCAGCCGATTACGATCTTCGATAGCAAGAAGGTAACGGCTGCGAGTTTGTCTCATCTTTCCTTTGCTGATTCTTCGCCGCCCAGCACAATGACTAGGAGTGGACGCCCCAGACGATGAAGGCGTGCAAGTGTTTGATTGGTCGGTTGCGGCTTGATGTACACCACACTCACTATCGGAGCTCTCAGCGCTCATTGTCACTGTTACAAAAAGGTCAGAATAGGTACGAGCTCATACCAAGTGTTTTTCGATTCCGAAGTACCAGCATAGTGGACAGCCTTTTCCAACAAATGCACGTATGCAGAAGCCATGGAGGCATTTTACTCTTTTTAACACATCGTACCGACGGCAGATTTTGAGCAGATGGTTTGTCATTCTGTCTACTACTCCTAAAGCCACATTTGTACACATGAAGCAACAATGCTTCGATAACACGACATCATCAATTTAATGGTACGATCCGATAACATTATGAAGGGCACTTAAGATGCGAGCACCAACCACAAGGTTTAGCGTCAGTACTTCGGAATCCCAAAGACCCACCAATTACTCTTTCCCGAGCTTAACACTACAATTCTACTCCAAAAGGGGCTCTACCCTTCTTTCAAAACTCAACCTGCTGACTTGTCACTCTGCACCTTTACAGAAAAAAAATCTTCAATTACCCCACTTACTAACAATTACCAACAAGAAATTGCAAGCAGGTGAGCCTGGTGTCTGAGAACAACTACCCCTCTAGTTAATCCACAAATTTCAGCAAGAGTGCAAAACAAGCAATTAAGCTCTGGCTCAAGAGTACCTAAAAGGAATATTTTCTAAAAGGTGCCCGAGGTATTCACAACCAAGGGCCGTATCTCCAGGGAACGCCTCCCTGCCCCTGTTCCTACCCTGTTTGGATGATACATGGTTGCATCGTAAAACCGGTCATACTCTGCATTTCTACACTCCAGTCAGCGCTAGAGCGTAGAGAAGTGTCTCAACAGGGTAGGGTAGCTACAAATTACGCGTTCAGTGGCGGGACGCAACCCCACCCACACAAGCTGAGGATAGAATCAGCGTCAGTGTACGCGCCCACCTCGAGGAAAGATAGAAAAGACCCCAGGAAAATATTTCCTTCCGTGTTAAACATAGGAAAGAAGGCTCCAGTTCCCTTTTGTACGACCGAATTCTCCCAACCCGTTAGCTGTCTCAACGTGCAAAGTCTGAGCTTCTGTACTTGGCAATAACTATTGTGCCAAGATGACTCCATCTAACCACACCGAAACTACGTCCAACCTTTTTGTGAGTTATGAGTTACGCTCACTCCCTCCCAATCTGCATTTTGTATTAACCGATACCTTCCCAGCGCTGCTGGCGGTGAGGACAGTACAATATATTACATGGTAGACTCATCCAACCACATATGCAATGCGTAGTAATCCCCAAACATAATCACAACAAAACATTTACAAATATAGAGACGTGTATACGTCATCAAGCGGGAAACAACAACAAAATCAACAAATTCTTTATTATTATGAATGAATGGCAGCTCGTGATCGAATGGTCTTGCACCTTCACGGTTTGTACGATGGACTGCATGTTGAGTGTAACTCATACGGAACAGAGACGATGACAACTTTTGACAATAGAGACGACAGGAGCCTTGTGCACCGACAACGAATTACTCGTACGGCTTACATACGGATACCCCCGTACGGCACGAAGGATCCAACTACGAAATCAAAAACACAGCCTGAAAATCACTATTAAGCGGACCTATACATAAACGTTAGCTGCACGTCTTTAAGCAAATGTACCACAAATCCAACCTCCGGGAGACCGCTCCACTCGGGCACGACCCTGCCCGGTCAGCCTTCCTCGTCAGCGGTAGGGTAACACCCATTGCGCGTTTACGGCAGCAATCACCTCATTATTTCAACGATCACATTTTCCTATGACAAACAAACTGAGAGCTTTTTCATCAAGGCAGAGATTAATATTATAACTCACAATACAGAACCAATTCAAGATATTTCACCAACCATATACCCATTATGCTCAGGGCAGAAAGCTCCAGCAGCTGACATCACACCCCGCTCTGACTGACATTTGTCCGGAAATAGACATTCTGAATTCAATGGTGATCAATCCAGACCGTTAGACATAAACATCACCTCAAATTTATGACATATATGCTTAATTTCACAATAACCAATACAAGTAAATACAACATCAAATACACGTGGTCTATTTCACTCTAAACAATTCTACTGTGAGAAAGTAATTATATCATTGATATCAAACAAGTCATTACTGAAATTCTTATCATAAGCAGGCTCACTAAAATTAGGAGTCAGCAATGGATCACGTGATGAATACGAATTATTTTCAATCATTTTTCGGAGACTATCCACCTGCTCACTAAGCCTAGCATACCCTTCCTTAAGGCGTTGATTTTCAGCTCGAAGATACTTGTTTTCCTCGGTCAACTCTCTGACTTGAGCCTCACAAGCGGCCAACTGATTCTTCTTCTGCTCACGGTAATTCCTTGCATAATTGGCCATCTTTGACGTGCTTGTAACCTTCATAGGACGACCACGACGATGTGCTTTTGGAACTGCAGCTTTCTGAGGCGAAATAGGACGCTCGAGAGGCTTAACATCAGAGCCGAACGATGCAGTTGAATCAGTACGCATCGGCATCTCATCAGAATAGAAGGAATTCTCACGAAGACAGTCAGGAGAGCGAGTGGGATCGATGTAGCAATAGCTGGGCAATTCGTCAGCAAACGAATCGAAGTTGGTCAACTCAGCACTACTTTCATCGACACTCTCAACAGATCCTGACTCACCCAAGTACTTCATGAGTAGATCGTCCTCGTATCGTGCCGAATAGAAGACCACGGCTTCTGGATCGTTGCTGAATTTAAATGGAACACAATTCGATACGTCGAACGAGACTTCAAGCTCTGGCTCGGATCTGAAAAAGTCGGTGAGCATGACTCTCGAATACAGGAATAAAGGGACGCGTTCAGAACGGAACGTTGACGAGAAATCTAGGGATGCTACGGATGAAAAACACGAAGCACACACCACTAGCAACGTCGAACGCAAGGAGCACAATGAGGGAATCGATTGGTTTTAGCCCCGCCCACAGCAGCATTTTCGAAACTCCTTGCAACGGTGTTGCGGCACGGCTACAGTAGCCCAGAACTTGCGGATCTGCGCCGCTTTCAAAAACGAATTAGTGACGTCATTGGCTTATGTGGGGGGTACCCTCCCCTTCAAAAAGCCAGAAAGTGTCGCGTGTGACCAAGTACCACAACTGACGACGGCCTCCAAGTAATCTGGTTAGTAGTGGTGCATAGTGATAGCTGATTTCTTGTAAATGATACTTGTAATTAGTATCAACTGATTTAATACAACTGTTACAGGTTAATCAATTCGTTGACAAAAAAATATTTGCATTTTCTGGATGCTGTCGTCACTTGTGGTGTTTTGTTTGCACCACACACTTTCTGGCTTTTTGAAGGGAAGGGTGTAGCGCATCAGATTTTCGACGGCGCTATGTGACTCGAGGGGGGCCAGTCGCCGCGCGCGGCCGTGCGGCAACAGGAAATTCGAACATTCCGGCTTCTCACGGAACATTCCAGCTTCTCACGCATGTCATGTGACTGCCCTCACCCCCAACCCCCCTGAATTGGCTACACTCCCCCTGGCTCACGAATTTCCTGTTGCCGCACGGCCGCGCGCGGCGACTGGTCCCCCCCGAGGCACATTGCGCCGAAGCTATACTATAAAGCGCTTGTCTGTCGTGTCTGTCTGTGTGTCTGTCACGAAATTCGGTATCAAGCGAACAACAACCTACAGGGTCCAGGTCAAGTTTGGGATGGGTATACCATATCCCTAGAAGTAAAAACACACATCAGCCAAGCGGAGCCCCGCCCACAGTGGGCGTGGCGTGCATCGGTTGATTTCAAATTCAGTCACAAAACAGCCTCGAGACCGGGACAAAAGTGGGCATAGGTGTGGGTTGGTAAGCCAGATCGAACTGAGGAGACCCACCCTCGGTGGGCGGGGCGTTCTCTAGAAAATGGGTGCTCAGTGAAAATATTCATAACTCGGTTAAGAGGAAGCCTACAGACCAGGAACGAAATTAGTGCAGGGGAGCAATGCCTAAGGTATTTCCACCACGCATGATGTGAACGGAGGCCCGCCCACAATGGGCGGAGCGTGTCGTGAAGCGGACAGCATTTTCTACAAGAGCTCATAAATCGGCTCCGAGATGACTTAGAGACCGGAAAACAACGGATAGAGGTCAGGAGGGGAGGGGAAGCTAAATGTCAGGGAATGGGCGTGGCTTACATCAAAGTGGGCGGAGTTTGCAATTAGGCTTATAACTCGGTTCCTAGGAGTCCCGGAGTCCGGGAAAAAAGCGTATGAGGGTTGGCAGAGGGAAAGGGGTCAACCGTTGTTGGCGGGCGGAGCATGCACCAAAGTGGGCGGGGTTTGCCACGGTACTTCATAACTCGGTTCCAATAAGTTCCAGAGATGGGAGAAAAGTAGAAAAAGGTTGGGGAAGAGATGATAGCCGACTGATATCAGTGGGCGACCCACGCACCAAAGTGGGCGGGGTCTGCCTCAGAAATTCGTGACTCATAACGCCATTTACAAGACCTCATAATTCGGCTCCGAGATGACTTAGAGACCTGAAAAAAAATATGCCTGAGGTGAAAGTAGGAGTAGAGGTTGAATGTGAACGCTGGGCGTGGCACCCCGGATGTGGGCGGAGTTTGCCACCGCTCTCATAACTCGGTTCCTAGAAGTTCCGGCGACCGGGGAAAATGTGCATAAGTATTGAGGTATGGAGTAGGGTTGAATGCCATTGTTGGGCTAACCATGCACCAAAGTGGGCGGGGTCTGCCTCAGAAATTCGTGACTCATAACGCCATTTACAAGACCTCATAATTCGGCTCCGAGATGACTTAGAGACCTGAAAAAAAATATGCCTGAGGTGAAAGTAGGAGTAGAGGTTGAATGTGAACGCTGGGCGTGGCACACCCGGATGTGGGCGGAGTTTGCCACCGCTCTCATAACTCGGTTCCTAGAAGTTCCGGCGACCGGGGAAAATGTGCATAAGTATTGAGGTATGGAGTAGGGTTGAATGCCATTGTTGGGCTAACCATGCACCAAAGTGGGCGGGGTCTGCCTCAG